CTCCCGCAGTGGTCGGGCAGAGGTTGTTGGTTTTCACGCAGATCCCCTGGCTGGGCTGCTTGCAGCTCTGAGCGGCTGCGGGGGCTGCCTGGGGAGGGGGCTCCTGGCTGGGTCACCTGCCAGCCAGCGGCCCCTGGCTCCATTTCCATTTCTGCATCCCTCGTTTACCAGACAGTTAATTATACAACAAATGAGCCTGGTCGTGGGCTGGGCTAGAAGCAGCTTGGGGCAGCCGAGCGCGTCAGCCCTGGGACGAGCCGCCGGCTGCAGGAATATCCTGAACCCTGGAACTCGTAGAGAATCCGCCCACCCCACACGCAACCCCGCTACCCCCCTTCCCCCACAGTCCTGGCTCCAGCACCGCCCTAGCCACTGCAACACACCCCTCCCCGAGCCAGGGACAGAACCCAGGAGTCCTGGCTCCCAGCCCCCCGGCTCTAATCACTCGACCCCACTCCCCTCCCCGAGCCAGGGAGAGAACCCAGGAGTCCTGGCTCCCAGCCGCCCTCCCCGGCTCTAACCACTCGACCCCACTCCCCTCCCCGAGCCAGGGAGAGAACCCAGGAGTCCTGGCTCCCAGGCTCCCTCCCCGGCTCTTACTACACTCGACCCCACTCCCCTCCCCGAGCCAGGGAGAGAACCCAGGAGTCCTGGCTCCCAGCCGCCCTCCCCGGCTCTAAGCACTAGACCCAGCGACAGCAGATGGGCGAGGGTGGAACAGTAAAAGGGACCAAAGACTAGTTTCCTCTGCAGCTCTGAGCTTCGGGGGGGGACGACTTACACCCCCCAGCACGAAGGAAGGGGCTTGCTGGGTGCTTTGGCCCAGGGATCGGGGGCTCCGCACAAGAGCTGTGGGGCTTTGCCAGGTTAGCCCTGACTCGCACACGGAGCCGGCTAATGACAGATGCTCTTGTTGCCTTTTGGAACAGGGGGTGGCGGAGGTGTGGCAGGGGTTGTGGGGGGGATGTGATGGGGGGGGATTTTATGTTTTTTTCCTGTTTTCCAATGGTTTGCATGCCGAGGGGGTGGGACTCAGTGTCCCTGGGTGTTACAGGTTTAACGAGGTGAGAGGAGAGGGAGTTCATTGGGACACAGGACCAGAGAGGGAACTTGGGACCCCAGCCAATGGCTGGGAGGATGGACACCCCAGCGACCGGTGACCTGGTGACCCAGAGGCCCAGCTCAGGAGACGCAGCCGGTTCTGGCCAGTGGGAGGACAATGGGCTGCAGAGTGAGGACCCAGTGACCTAACCAGCCGGTTCCAGCCAGAGGACAGAAGCGAGGAGAGGAGGCCCCAGTTTACGGCCCTGTTTACCTGGAGAGAAGACAATGGGCAGAGGCGGGGTCTGGGGCCGGGATCTCAGATGCCCGGCTGGGAGCAGGGGGGCTCAGGGCTGGAGAGGGGGGGCAGGCAGAGCCCACCTGGATGCAGGGGAGACTGGGATGTGCTGGGCTGAGGGAGGCCAGGCCTGAGGCCCTGAGAGTTTCCTCTGCTGGGTTCAGACGCTCAATAAACCCTCCTGTTTTACGTTGGCTGAGAGTCACTCTGGGCTAGAGAACAGGCAGGGGGGTTGGGGGCATTATTCCCTTCAGGGGTGGAGGCCCCGGGGGCCCAGAGCGAGGGGACTCCCTGAGGGGACCCATGGCAGAGACAGACGTGCTAAGGCTCAGAGAGGTGCGGCTCCAGGAGGTGGAGGGACCTGACCCCGGGAGAGAGGGGTCCCCCGAGAAGGGCTGTCGCACTGAAGGGGGCTCCCCCCATGGACCACACGGGGCCAGGAGTGGGCAGGACCTGGGAGTCCGTGACAAGGCTCGAGTCGGTTGTGTGCTGGACTGATGGGAAGGAACCACTAGAACTCGACCCCGGCCCTGGGTGCTGCCGGCTCTGCCTGGCACAAGGGTTACACGGGCGATTTCCTGGGGGGTTGGAGTCACCAGGGACCAGCTGCCCGCACCTGGCAGGGTCTCTGCCCCTCTGCCCTGCTGGACCCAGCTCCGCGGTCTGTTGTTCACCTCGCCCCACAGTCGCCAGCCTCCCATGGGGCAGAACTGCTGCCTGTGGGGCTGGGATGGAGGAGTAAGGCCCCACGCTGCAGCCTCCAGCTTCTCGCAGCAAATTCAAACCCGCGGGGGCTCAGCTGCAGGGGGGCGGCCGGGGGCAGAGCCGCAGCAGGTGTGAACAGCCCCACGGCTCGGCATGGCCCCCGCTGCTGCGCCGGAGAAATGTACCCCTCAGAGCGTGACCCTTCGGACCAGGGGCGCCCCCCCCCCCACACTGCCCCACAGATGCAATCCGGCTCCCCCCCATGCTGCCCCATGGACGTGCCCCCCCCCACTGCCCCACAGACGCAGGCCGTTCCCCCACCGCTGCCCCATGGACACAGGCCAGCTCCCCCCACCACTGCCCCATGGATGCAGGCCGTGTCTCCCACCAGCGCTGCCCCACGGATGTGGGTCATTCCCTGAGCCTCCAGGGAGACCTCCTGCCCTATGGAGCCCCTGTCCACACAGATCTTGGCCTGGGACACCCCCCCCGCACCTGGTCACTCCGGGAGCAGCGACTGATGGCATCGCTCCCCCCCACAGCCCCTCGGCACGGGCGTGGAGGTGGGGCAGGCTGGCACTGAGCCGCGGGAGGGTGACGCGCTATCAGCACGTCGGGCAATTAGCGTTAATTACAGCGTGTCGCTTCACTCCGCACGAGTCCCCTCTGCCTGTCAAACGCTGCCTGACCCCAGCGTGGGGGGGGGACAGCTCCGGGGGGGGGGACCAGACAGCACCAGGCCCTTCTGGGAGGGGGGGGCCTCAGGTTCATGGCTCACAGGCTCCAGTGTCTCCGTCCAGCCCCCCATGGAGCCACCCGATCCCAGAGGCTGCTGGGAAAGTTTTGCCCCATCCCTGGGCCGGGCCCATCCCTGCACCAGGGCGAATCCGGGCGTCAGCTGCCAGCAATGAACCACTTCTGTTAGATGCCAGGGCTGCAGGTCGGGAGTGAGGGGCACCGGCAGGGCTGGGGGGGGCAGGACTGGACTGGCAGGGGCTGCGGGTTGGGAGTGAGGGGCGCCAGCAGGGCTGGGCTAGCAGGGGCTGCAGGTCGGGAGTGAGGGGCACCAGCCGGGCTGTGGGGGGAGGGCTGGACTGGCAGGGGCTGTGGGTCGGGAG